AGTGTACCTGCTTTTTTTGATGGTCGATTTTCTCATACAATAAACGTTTTTTGGTTCTGAACGACGGTTTCTGTTCAATACAATTATGAGTGAAAGTGTCCTCTTTCATTTGAAATTACTGATTTTTACAAAAATCATTGTTTGTAAAAACAGACAATTTTCTTACACTTAAATTATTAAAGTAAACTTCTCAACTTCTTCGAGCAAATACTTATTTATAGAGAATCGACGTGAGCGACCCACTGGTTTCGATTACGTAGCAAAATAGTGCTCTGCTCATAATTTTCTACAATACTCTGCGATCCATGCGCCGTGGACTGCGCGGCAAAAGAAAACACCGATAACTTTTGATGAATTTTAAAGCCTTCATGTTTTTTTTGCGTATGGTTCTTGATAAATAAGAAATAATACGTTATAAACAAAATGTTTTTTTTTGTAAAACTTAGTAATATCAAACGAAAAGGACATATTCACTCATAATCTTACTGAATATAAGCGAAATCGATTCGGTTTGTTAAGAGAAAATAAATATTTTCCAAGAATTTCGAATTTCGAAAAACCGTCGAAGTTATATGTTATATTTATCGTTTAGAACCAAAAACGTTTGCCATATTGTACGAGAAAAGCTCGAATATCGAAAAAAAGGTACACCTTAGAGATTTTGTCTCAAATGTATTTGAATGTCACCTCAAATCTTTGGTATCTTCGCTTTTATGATGCCATAACGGATGGACGTACATATAATGGATGTATCGTATAGAGTATTTTACTTATTTTTATTATTTGTTGTAGATGCCAATAGATGTAGACTCATTCCGACCATTTTTGGAAAAATGCTGATTTATATAAGAAGTACCGGTCGATTTTACATAATTTTGTTATGTGTGTAGAAAAAATGTCACTTAAAAGTGAGAGGTAACCAGGGCCGGTCCGGGACAGTTTACCGCCCTAGGAAAATGCAAGATTCTCCGCTCCTTCTAAGCCCATTTTGCCTGAGCAACCTGTTCGGGGTATAAATATAATATGTAAAGAAAATTAGCCAAAATGCCGCTGTAAAATTTATGCGCCCTAGGCAATTGCCTAACTTGCCTATATGGACAGGCCGGCCCTGGAGGTAACCATCGACGAATGTCTTAAATGATCCGCAAGTAGAATTAATCTATTCTCCTTTCCACTAAGTAAAAATAAACATAATTAAACTAAAAGTAGGTAGGATCACCATTTTCATTGTTTTTTAAATAACAACTTATCTAGAGTGTTAAGAAACAATTATAAGGTCACACAGACAATGTCCTGAAATTAATTCCTCTCACCATTTTGAGAATTTTAATTTAGATAATTCGATATCTATTTTGATTACTATATGATTGAACAAACAACCGTTAAATCATTTCATACATTGTGCAGCATATTGCAATTGTATAACATGTCATTTGCACAATAGTTGTGTTTTGTACTTACGATCTTCTGTTCCCGGCGACTACGTGTACCGTCCTATACATACATATATGTACATATATACCATATGTATATATACAATTTTTTAAATCTCGTACTTGCTTATTATGAAAACAAACTGAGGCGCAAATGCTTAGTTTCGCTCTCGCTGTAAAAAATCGTTGCGAAGCACTATGTTTTCCATTCTGCACTTTATGTTGCAAAACAAAAAAGATGATATGTAGCATTATTTGTCGATTATTATGATAAAAAGTCTTAGGGCCGTTTTCTCAATGTCTGCAGCAGTAAATAAATTAAATTTGCCAATTTAAAACCATGAAATAGTTGAGACATAACCAAATAACACTAGAGGATCCAATAATGTACATAAAAATATATTAAGTTGAGGTCAGAATGTTTATTTTATTTCAATAGGAAGATGATAAGTTGAGTACACCCAACCCTGTATTTTTTAATAACCAGATCTCGATTTTATTTAAGAACCACCACTGAGGTTGTGAAATTGTCTGCTAACTTAGTAAAAAAGTACGCGTATTCGCATTATTTCATAAATTCGCTTAACTATTTATTCGAACTTTTTACGTAGGAGAATAAAAAGCAATCAATAAGTATGCAAACAGTAAAATGGCTTCCTTGCATAACTAGTAGGGGATTTGATAAGTTGTTATTAAAGTGAGTTAATAATTAAAATTAAGTAATTTATCTTGATACACATTAAGCGGGCAGTCAATCTTTATTTCAATATTTTCTTGCAAAAGTGAAGATATAAAACTTAAAAGTTGTATGGATGGCTTCTCTTAAATCATTGAGATATTACTTCTTTTTTAATGACATACGAGTATATAAAACAAGATCATTTGTTATTATTTTTAATAGTATTTATGTTAGTGATATATTTTGAGTGCAAGTCATATAGTTTTGATTCAATCATGCAAAATAAAAAATCCAAGTTTCAATTGTTGACTTGAAAAATCATTAATAAATTCAGGCAAGTAAGGGCTAAGTTTCAGCCCAACGAACATTTTATTTATTTCGCAGTTTACGGGGATCAAAGCTTCAGAAATTCATTCAGGTGTTGACAAAACTTTATGTTAAAAAATGTTGGGTTAACTTTATACATTTATCATTTGAATCATAAATTAATTACAATCATATTTGGTATCTTATTATTTTATACTATATACTTATATTAAAGACCATAGAATCACTTAGTTTTATTACTATATTTTGCTACATGTCCGCGACATTTATACTGAATCAACTTATCCGAAAGGACTAAATTTATTATATGAGAAAAAAATTAAACAGAATATCGGAAATCAGAATATTAGGGATATGACGCTTAAAGTAAGATCTAGACCCATTTCATAGTTTTATAAAACATACTCACTTAATTTCATTAAAATATCACACATTTTGGTTATCATAAAAATCACTATATTGCATATATTGGAGCTAAGGGAAGACCAGGACTGATTGCATAAGATTTTGGCATTATTATGAAAATAACTCAAACACTGACGGATATAATAAGCACATAAATATCAAAAATCATTATATATAGTATTTGAGTGCCTTAATATACGTATACGTTTATACGACTAAGATGACTTACATATTTACCGATAAATGCGATAAAATCGGAAGTTTGAAACGCCTTATATCAAGTATATGGAGACTTGAAGGTATATCTAATTGGTACCAGGCACGCTTTCATCAGAAAAAGAAGTTCTCTAAATGTTATTAAGAAATCTCACATATTGACGGATATTTTCAGTAAAAAGAAAGTCGATGGCACTGAAGTCCTGGGAGTTTAAAGAGTTTTAGTCCAATTATTAGTGTTAGTCGGTAGATGGCAAACCTTTAGGGCACTATTTGTGCAAAGTTTTATTCCAATAACGTCATTGGTGCTAGATTTATATACTGTAAAGGGAAAACATCATATGGAATTCAAAATTGTGATATATGGGAAGTAGCCGTGGTTGAAGTCAGATTTCGTTCATTTTCACAGCGTAACATTAAGAATTTCAGGGTAATTTTAGGCCCCATTATTGCACATATATAATGTGGTTAAAATTGGTTGAGTAGTTCTTGAGCTGTAGACCTAAAGGTGAGCACTGAAATGGCATTATTAAATTTTTACGCCGATTCCTATGAAGCCCTTAAGCCTTATCTTGGCTGTGAAATTTAATACAATACTTCTGATGTTTTTATTTAAAGATTTATCGTTTTTTTATTAGTTTACAACATATCCGTTATATGGGGGTGAGCGTGGCAATCCGCTGGTTTTATCCATTTTCACTGATTCAGCTTTAGTGGTGGGGGTTTAGTAGTTTTCAAACCACAAATGTATGTCCATCCATACTTTGATGTCTTGTACCAAGTTTCAGTTGTGTATCTTAATTAATAGCCCTTTATAGTTTTTAGCTGTAAGGATATTTTGTGAGCATAGCAATGGTTCTATCCGCCCATCTGTCAATCTGATCTTTTGTATATACCGATGTAAATATACAATATAATATAACTCTATGTCTGTCTGGATTAGTTATTGGTATTACAAACAACCGTTGGGTAACAAAGTAGAAATAAGTGCTTTGAAATAGTATGTTTTAATCTTTAATAAAACGTTTTTGTTTGCGTAAAATGTTTACAATTATTAAGCGCAGCTGGAATGTCTATCACTCAGCATATCATTATGTGCTTCCGAAAACAATACAGCCACACCAAAGGAACTTCAACTAAAGTAAATTTGTCGAATATAAAAAGAATAGAGGATGAAGGAAGTCCCATGTGTATGGCGAAAGAGATAATCAGTCTGTTACAAATATCTATTATATGCTTTGAACGGATTTCGATTATTCGATGCAAAGAGCATCTGTAAATCGAGATATTAAGTAATCATTGGACAACATTTAATAATATAGACTTTTCGTGTATGAGAAAGAAAGATAAAGCAGACATATTACAATTGCCGCTTACTATCTATTATATACAAATTTGAATGCCTATTATATTACTGTAACTGTCTTTTTAAATTGATAACGGAGTACATATGAATATTAAGTAATATTTTATGAATGTCTTTAAATAAATGTATATAAAAATGTAAGTAGGTATGCCTATGTAGTGTAATATAATTTTCTGTTTTTTTTTAGAATCGCAAATATTCGCATGTCATCAATATCGATTCGTCTTTGTTGTGTCGGCTTCAACTTGCAAGGCTTCCTTTGTGGCGCAACGATTTCCCACCGTAATACAACCAAATACAAACAGCTTGTCTATTTGCCTCTCTAAATTTAAGTAAACGTAATGAAAGTTGTACGTAACAATGAAATTTAACATTAAAATGTTAAACATCGGAGAGGCACTTTCATAAGATTCATTTTAATGAGAAATTCGCACAAAACAGTAAATTTCTTCTAGCTCTTCGTACGGTTGTATAATATAAATAAAATAACTAACAGTTAAACCCTGCCATCAAATCAATAATCGATATCCGTCTACTGTTACCTTCCATATTCGACAAGAATGAGACATAGAAATAAAAAACTCAAGACAAACGAAGCTAGTCAGTCAGTCAAAACGGTTTACAAATCAGTTTAGGCGCGATTTTCATTTGGATAGTTCGAGCTCGTCCGCGAGCTCTTCGAAATTTCCCTTCATTATTCGAGTATAAATTCTTAAATAGTTACCACTATTATTGTATATTATATACAATGAACTGAAAAGACAGTTGTAGCAAGTATATATACATATGTATATACCACATCGAAGTTATTTACTGAATTTATGTTTTTAGAAACATCCTTACGGTGAAAGTAACTAAACTTTGAAACATCATAAGCCTTAAATATTAAATTTCAAAATGGTGCAAATTAACTCTGGCAGTGGCGGTAAGTGACCTTCAGTTAAATGTTAACGATCGTTAACTTTGAGTTAGCAATTGTAACTACAGAAACGCTTTGAATTATATTTACAAATATATAACAATGTCAAATTCAAACACATTTTCAAGAAACTTATCACTGTCTTATTGCAAATTCGATCGGTGTTTCAATATGTAAAAATATATTGTACATATGTATGTGTGCACTTAATTTAATTGTACTTAAAAATTTGTGTGTGAACCAAACCAATGAAAATTAAAAATCTCAGGTGATGATTTCATTTAAGACATACCATCGAGTGCAGAGTAAACAATTAAATATCTGCAAGAGTCTCATTCTTCGACTGTTGAATAAGGAATTTTGTGGTTGAAATTTCTTTAATATAATGATGCTGTTATTTACTGGATAGAATAATGGCCTTCGTATCAATTGTGTTTCATAGAATTCAAGTGTTATTTACTCCTCCTAGCTTGTTTTATATATTTATTAATAATGCGGTGACCTTTCTTCCTTCAATCCTCCATGTCATTGCAACCTTATTGCTTCCAAATAAACAACCTCTTCACATACCCATCGGTGCCTGAAGTAAACTACATTGTGATTTTTCTGTGTGTGTAGCAGCGCCGCCACCACCGAATAATGGTCACTTAATTGACTGTCAAACTCGAAATCAGCGTTTCGGTTTTCTGAGATACCAATTTTGTAATAATTAATCATTGTCCTGGCTAAGCACAAGAAATATCTTTATCTTAACCTCTTCGTTTGGTAAAATTTATTAATTAACCACTCAAAGTTATAATTTAAATAGGTTATAATTTTCTTCAATGATTTTGTAATTAAAATTATTTTTGGAAAGCCATAGAAATTAATTTTTTAACTGTAAAATTAACATCGCCAATGAAATAAATAGATCATGGTCCTAAATGAAACAAACATTTCTACCGTATATTCGTTTTCTCCACATTCTGACTTCAGAAATGAAAAATGTAAGATTTTTACAGTTACTCGCCTTAATGGTTGTGTTTACTAGCGTTAGCACAGTACTCCGTGTGAAAGTTATCCCAACTGTCATTAATCGGATTAATAAGAGAGCTTTGCCTTTGGAGATACAGAAAAAGAAGTAGTGACGGTCTGTACCTATAGATGGATCGTGCAATTATACCTATCGCTTTTATTTAAAGCAGTTTACAATTCATCTCGCAAATTTCAATATTCTTTATTATATTGTTCCTATACATATATCAGAACAAGTAAGGGCGGGCTTAGTTCGGGTGCAACATTTTATACTCTTGCAACTTGCAAGGATCAAATCTGGCGATTATATAAATATATAACTCACACACTGAACTACATATTCGTCATAAAGTCCAATCAAATATGTTAGAAAAACGACAATCGTTATATGTAGTATATGGGAGTGGGGGTAATTCGTATATATGGTGTAAGGCCAACCGGAAGTTTGAAAATTTTATATTAGGTTTATGAGGTCTAAGAAATGAATTTACCCGATTTTATTTATTTTTGGCAATACCATATACTAATAATATGCTCCCTGAGTTTCATTAAAGTAAACTCACCATCACCAATATACTTACATGGTGTAAAGTCAGCCGAATGTTTGAAAATCGTGATATTAGTTATATGAGGGTTAGGGCAAGTTTTCACGATTTGTTATCTATTTTAGGTACGTTGTTATTATTATTTCTCGTTTTCACTAAGATAACTCACATATTGGCCGATATAAATCGAAAGTTCGAAAATCTTTGTATAAGGTAACCCATTTTTGACATACAGGCATACTGTTTTCAGCAAAGGAATTTCAATCCGAATTTCAATAACATGTCTGCAAGGCCGACCCGAGACAATTTACCGCAATAGGCAAATGCCAAATTCAGCGCCCCTTCTAAGCGCGCAACAAGGCTTAACATAATTATTTTAAAAAAATGTTATAATTAGCAATGGTGTACTTTTATAATATATTTTTTTGCCAATAGCTTGTACTTCGCTGCATAAATCTGTTGCATCGACTTATATTTGTCAATTCAACGTGAGTTAATGACATTTCTACTTTTGCAATGTTCAAAATCGCTGGGAATTTAAAAGTTTGCAGCTGATCAATATTAAATAAAAATCCAAAAGTTTTAGTAACAATGCAGTATCATTAATGGCAAAATAGAAATTAATTTTAAAATTTTGCTTAGCATCGCGAATTTCCTCATCTTGTTGTTGGTGCCGTTGGTGCCGTATCTGATTCGAATGTACATACATACATATTTTGGTGATAGCATTGCAACTAACATCATATAGCAACAACCACTGGGTGCTACTATTGGGTCGTTCATTAACCTTACAAGAACAGTGACAGTCATTTTACCGCTAATAAGCTTTTATCATGTGTGAGTATACATTTATCTTTAACGCATGGGTATTCGGAATTGAGTAACTATATATCTATACTGCTTAGGACATTAATCACCATAAATTTATCATAGCTGAAAATTGTCAGTTATGACTCTAATGGGCAATCCGCATAGAACTTTTGCTTCCCTTCGCGTCAGACATTTGTTTTGACAGAAAATAACGATGTATATGTGTACCGTGTACCATCAATTTTTACTCAATACAGACAGACAGTCACTCGGAATTTAAATCGGCTCGTCATTCTAATCATTTATATATACCATATATAACCCTATATTTATATCATTTATTTTAAGTGATACAAACGACCGTTTGCTGAACAAAACTAGTATGCTCTGTAGCAACATTTTACAAGAGTATAAAAATAAAGTTTTTTTTTCCATTCATTAATTTTCATCAATATCTGGTGTTGCAAAATTCTCTTTGAAATAACAGTAATTTTTCAAAATCTCCCTTTTCAAAATCCTGGATTCACCCCCGCAACAAAAAATAACTGAACAATTTTAAATGTTTAATGTTTGTTGTTAATTTTGTTAGAAGAGTTCCGATATTTCGTTTAGAAAGGATCCATTTAATGAATAATGTAACATTGTTGTTTTGTGCCATTGATGTAACCACTGTGGTGACTGTGTCCAAATGAATTCAATTATCTTATTAATCTTTCTGCTCGCCAAAATTTAAAGAAAACATATTCAAATGAGCAATAATCGTGGCTGATAATGGATAACTTATTGAAACCACACCTTAACTTTATTAAAGATACGATATATATATACATATATGTATATATTTTAATATTAAGTAAATGGTGGTGAAATATTATTGAATCAGACATTTTAACATAGTCAAAAGTTGATAAGCCAGAGTTCGTTATTCAGATCATTAAGATCCTATTTTAATGTGCTTTCAAATAGAATCGGCGTAAAATGGCGAGAACTTTATTAAATATTTTTATAACGCTTTTATTTTACAGTGAATATCGAATTTATTACAATTTTTATGCTCGAAATAAGTAGCGAATATCTGTACATCGATATTCAAAATATTATTGCACGTATATAAAACAATGAACAAGTTAAGTGAATTATGATAATTTAAGTTGATTTCTAAAAAACTGAGCTTATGATTTTTTCATAGAAGAGAAGTAGAATTTCTTTATTGCCTCGATAAGATATATTAATATCATCTAGAAAACTGTTTTTAATAATAAATATTTTCGTATAAAAATAATAATATATATAAGTAGATATATGTCACCCAACAATGTTTTACGTTTTGTTAAATACAAGTAATAAATAATAGTACATTTATGTTATTGAATTAAACAATTCAGTTCACTTATATTTACTATTGAATTTCAAAGATATAGTACATCAAGAAGGAACCCGTTTCAAATCACTTTGCTCTTAACAAATTTAAAAGTAAGATAACGATTCATACTGGTATTTTCTTCGTTATTCAAAGAATGCAATTTTAGTTATTTAATTTATTTTTTGTTAGTCTACCTATCGGTATATGCTTTGCTAATTAAAGTAATTTATTTTTATGGCAAAAAATAGAAAAGATAAAATTGACTCACGAAAACAATGTTCAAATTGCGAAATCTGATGAAAACAATAACCGGTATGAGCTGCCGTTCAAAACTAAAATAAATTTTACAAAAACATAAAAACTTGACCACATATAATGGAAGTAATTAAGGCTATTGCTTAAACCTGCTCATTTAAGAAATTTAAATGTAGAAAACAAATTTTTAGATTGCTATTCATGTTTCAAAGTTGTGTCTGCAGTGGTCTAAAAATCCTATTTTTGAACTGGCAACTTATAGATCACATCGTTGAAAATGTCTTTATCATCCCTACTTATCGCAAACAATTACGGATCTCAAATTTCAAACTAAAGAGTTTGATCCAAAAGCAATCCCCATATCCAATCCTACTTGTAAATATGAAATATTCAAAGCTATTCAAACATTGAAAATCTTTTAAATTTACAATTATATTCTTAATTAGACAAGTGCACTTAAATTTTTTAATTTATTCTTGATTTATAATATGTATGTACGTATTTTTAGATCGAATGAAAATTGAAATTTAAAATACATGAAATACAACATATTGCACAGAGTATAACAACTTTGTTCACCTAACAGTATTGTTTGTATCATCTAAAACTGAAAGAGTTATATATATATGTACATATGTATATATCAAATTGATCATTATGGAGATATGAATTGAATTCCGGATACCTTTCTGTCCATTCGTCCATCTGTACGTGCAAGCGAAAACTTAAGTAAAAAATTTAAATATCAACTTCTTGTAGCTCTATTGGTGGCCTAATTAATTTGGTACAAGTTGGTAAACGTTTTTGGAACGTGAGCCTGACCACACAACTGTTAGGTTTAATGAACATATCTCACAAACTGCTAAAGCTACTTATTTGTTTATAATATTTCATTGTACAGTATAAAAATTTATGAAATCGGATAATCCCTACACAAAAGTTACGTTGAAAACTACAGAAAGTGTAACTTTCTAGAAAAACGTTCGAAGCATCAAATGTTGCTGTACTAATGAAGATGTCGGAATAAAAGCTTGCACAGTTAACAGCCTTGAAGGTGTGGCCCCTCATCTTCAATTGGTCTTAGTTCTAACTACAAATCAAATGCAGTTAATGTTAGTGGACCCTTCCGATAGAATCTTTTCAGCCTGCCTGATGTTGCAGATCTTAAATTTTATGTGAATCAAAAATATATTTTTTTATTTCAGATCACATTCACACAGTAACTTTGGATAAAACCGGAAAGAAGTCATTTGGAATTTGTATAGTCAGAGGAGAGGTGATTAAATTAAAAATTTTAATGCTAATGAGCTTAACTCCAGTTGCTTAAATTTTAATATCATAAGGTTAAAGACTCCCCAAACTCGAAAACATCCGGAATTTTTATAAAAGGTATAGTTCCAGACAGCCCTGCCCACTTGTGTGGGAAACTAAAGGTGATTGTAATATCAAAATGTTGTAACTCCTACTGAGTGATACGTAATAACTTTTAGGTGGGAGATCGGATATTGTCGTTAAACAATTACGATGTCCGAAATGCTACAGAACAAGCGGTTATCGAGCTAATTAAAGATGCTGGCATCAAAATAAATCTTGAAATTCAAACTTTTGGAAAGGTATGTTTAGGTTTTTAATAAAATTACCTAAAAGATTTGTGTATATTTATTTGCATGTAAATAGGATGAGAAGAAAACGTCAGAACGTGAACGCAACGAAAATGGTTACGTGCAAGTCAAAGCAAAATTCGCTCCAGGTGCTTACACATTTACAATTTTTAAGTTTGCTAAAGTTATTTTAATTTACGTTCGGAAATAAGTTAGTAATTATGTAATCATATTTCTTTAAGAACCGCCAATGTCGGCGAATAAAAGTTCGGTTCCTAAAGAAACCCCGCGAAATCCGGCGTTTTCTGCCTCCATACGTCAGAAACCAGCTTCTAATTTTACAGCCAACGACGAAGAGGACGAGGACACACGAGATATGACTGGCCGAATTCGCACAGAATCTGGATATGAAGTAAGATAATTCATACTTAATTGATTTGCAGGAAACAATTACATTTATTTACTATAGAAACTACCACTTATTCCAAACTATCCGTTCTAGTAAAAATTGTATTTTTGACAATAACCCTGCTGCTTTTCAAAGAGTTAAAAATGTGTTCACTAATAATCTGGTAAACTCTCCACTTCTAGAAAATTGTTATGTGGATTTTCTTGGAAAGTTGGAATTTTAATTGCCGTCCGCTTTACAGATTTCATGAAAGTTTTGAAAAGGCACTGACAATTTTGGAGTATTTTGACCCAATCTGTTTAACGTTATTTCAGTTTTGTTCTCAATTCGCCTCTTTTAGTTCATGAATGTGTTTTTCTTCTTTCTTTATAGAGAAATCAGTGGCAATTTTATAATGAATTCTCTTAAGCATTTTCGAAGTTTTAACGACAAGCTGCCATATTGAAAGCTGTTTGATTTTGCATTTAAATTTTTAGTTTAATACTTATACTTATACATAGTAAATCATTATAGATCGATCGAGCGTCTGCCGGTAATTGTAAACTCAATAAACAAGAAAAAGAACGAGACAAAGAACAAGCCGATGAGTTCGGATACACAATGGGTATGAAGATGATTAATTATTTAGGATTTTCGCGGTTTTGCATATATATGTGAGTATTTTATTGTTACAGCGAAAATCAAGAAACGTTATAATTTAATGAAAGACCTGCGGAAAATAGAAGTGACGCGCGCGCCTAATACCTCACTAGGATTGGCCTTAGCCGGCCACAAGGATAGAAGAAAAATGGCTTGCTTTGTAGCTGGAATAAATTCCAGTGGCCTATTAGCTTCAGTGGATATAAAACCGGGTGATGAGATTCTTGAGGTGAACGGAAATGTTTTACAGAACCGTTGCCATTTGAATGCCTCAGTGATATTTAAAAACATCGACACCGAGAGAATTATTTTTATAACATCACGCAGAAAAGACAATGATGAAGGAATATCTGTAAACCCCATAAAGAAGTTCCCAAAGGAAGTCGATGATGTAAGCCGCAATATAAACTGATATTTAGAATAAAGACTGTCTTCTAAAATGTATCATTGCAAAGTTTAAACATATACAGTTTATAGAAAAAAAATATTATGAAACTAAGGCAACTATCGCCATGAATCATATATATCATTGATTCCTTGTTTTACCTTGCTTTACTTACATTACAACCAACATTTAAGAAGCCAGTTATATATATGTATATATGTAAATTCATGTACATATATAAATGCATTTAAGTGTTAACTTGAATAATAACTACTCGTATTATTTGCTTACTGTTTTACAGACCAAGTTTTTATTTGATTTATATCCCAATGCACGTTCAGTACAAGTTAAAAAAGAAGGATTTTTAGGAATTATGGTTATATATGGAAAGCATGTCGAAGTGGGCAACGGTATATTCATATCTGATTTGCGCGAAGAATCCAATGCAGTAACGGTAAGATATTGCTTAGTCTTATTTTTTTCACAACTGAATCACTAACACATACATATCTTACAGGCTGGAGTAAAAGTCGGTGATATGTTATTAGCTGTCAACAAAGATGTCACTTTGGAATCGAATTATGATGAGGTATTCCTAATAACTATTAAATATCGAAAAAAAGTTATATCTCTGTTTAATTACAAAAATGAATATTTATATTATTTTCTCAACATTAAATAATGGTTGAAATTTGACATGACTTTCTAGCATTCAAAAGTTTTCATGTATCTCACTTAATACAACTCAGCACATGTGTTAAAGATTCAGGACACTTCATCCAATCGTTCTCCAATTTTTGGTCTAAAAGTAATGCTACCTTCGCTATTTTTGTTTATAATGGAAAATGTGAGCTTTGTGTTTTGATAAAACATAGATTTCACTCTATAGATGTTGTTATTATTTTAGCGGCAGAATTCTGCCAAGATGACAGTCCTTGGCCGGATTAATAAAACGGACTGTATAGATGTTTATTCATTTTTACCTATAAATATTAATATTAATATTTAATATAATAATTTACGTGCAAAACGTAAATATTTACACCTGTAATGTTACAATAACAGTATTATAGAAGATAATCAAATGTTTCGAAAACTTTAATTTTTAACGGGAACTTGTTCGAAAAACTCGAAATACTGCCAAGCTTATAGTTATGGTTATAGTTTTTCTTCAGTATATGACATCATAGATAAAATGATCCGAAACTCCTCTCTTTGCTTTTCGAGAGAGCTCATGAACTTTCAGTGCTGCCAAGAAAAGCACGAGTTCATGAGCTACTGAACAGATGACAACCAAAACAATGAACTGCCAGATAAAATCCCGTTAAAATTAACTGACAAAATCAGTTCATTATTTTTCGTAAGAAAGTTTAATGCTGAAGCAGCAATAGTTAATGTGATATTGTTAATTAAAAATATTTGTATAAGTGTTTATATATAAAATAAAATTGAGTAGGTGGTAAAATATCTTCAAATCCCTACGGAAGCATATGTGTGTAAACTTTATTTTTTGAATTTTTTTTCCCATATATGTAAATATATAAAGTAGAGTTATTTTCAAAGCTCTTATTTTCTTTTCGGTCCTTATAGTTTTAAATAATTAATTATTACTGAAAACTATATTTGATATTTTGTTTATAAAATTTTAACAGACAGTCACTCGGAATTTAAATCGGCTCGTCATTCTAATCATTTATATATACCATATATAACCTATATTTATATCATTTATTTTAAGTGATACAAACGACCGTTTGCTGAACAAAACTAGTATGCTCTGTAGCAACATTTTACAAGAGTATAAAAATAAAGTTTTTTTTTCCATTCATTAATTTTCATCAATATCTGGTGTTGCAAAATTCTCTTTGAAATAACAGTAATTTTTCAAAATCTCCCTTTTCAAAATCCTGGATTCACCCCCGCAACAAAAATAACTGAACAATTTTAAATGTTTAATGTTTGTTGTTAATTTTGTTAGAAGAGTTCCGATATTTCGTTTAGAAAGGATCCATTTAATGAATAATGTAACATTGTTGTTTTGTGCCATTGATGTAACCACTGTGGTGACTGTGTCAAAATGAATTCAATTATCTTATTAATCTTTCTGCTCGCCAAAATTTAAAGAAAACATATTCAAATGAGCAATAATCGTGGCTGATAATGGATAACTTATTGAAACCACACCTTAACTTTATTAAAGATACGATATATATATACATATATGTATATATTTTAATATTAAGTAAATGGTGGTGAAATATTATTGAATCAGACATTTTAACATAGTCAAAAGTTGATAAGCCAGAGTTCGTTATTCAGATCATTAAGATCCTATTTTAATGTGCTTTCAAATAGAATCGGCGTAAAATGGCGAGAACTTTATTAAATATTTTTATAACGCTTTTATTTTACAGTGAATATCGAATTTATTACAATTTTTATGCTCGAAATAAGTAGCGAATATCTGTACATCGATATTCAAAATATTATTGCACGTATATAAAACAATGAACAAGTTAAGTGAATTATGATAATTTAAGTTGATTTCTAAAAACTGAGCTTATGATTTTTCATAGAAGAGAAGTAGAATTTCTTTATTGCCTCGATAAGATATATTAATATCATCTAGAAAACTGTTTTTAATAATAAATATTTTCGTATAAAATAATAATATATATAAGTAGATATATGTCACCCAACAATGTTTTACGTTTTGTTAAATACAAGTAATAAATAATAGTACATTTATGTTATTGAATTAAACAATTCAGTTCACTTATATTTACTATTGAATTTCAGATATAGCATCAAGAAGGAACCCGTTTCAAATCACTTTGCTCTTAACAAATTTAAAAGTAAGATAACGATTCATACTGGTATTTTCTTCGTTATTCAAAGAATGCAATTTTAGTTATTTAATTTATTTTTGTTAGTCTACCTATCGGTATATGCTTTGCTAATTAAAGTAATTTATTTTTATGGCAAAAATAGAAAAGATAAAATTGACTCACGAAAACAATGTTCAAATTGCGAAATCTGATGAAAACAATAACCGGTATGAGCTGCCGTTCAAAACTAAAATAAATTTTACAAAACATAAAAACTTGACCTATAATGGAAGTAATAGGCTATTGCTTAAACCTGCTCATTTAGAAATTTAAATGTAGAAAACAAATTTTTAGATTGCTATTCATGTTTCAAAGTTGTGTCTGCAGTGGTCTAAAAATCCTATTTTTGAACTGGCAACTTATAGATCACATCGTTGAAAATGTCTTTATCATCCCTACTTATCGCAAACAATTACGGATCTCAAATTTCAAACTAAAGGTTTGATCCAAAAGCAATCCCCATATCCAATCCTACTTGTAAATATGAAATATTCAAAGCTATTCAAACATTGAAAATCTTTTAAATTTACAATTATATTCTTAATTAGACAAGTGCACTTAAATTTTTTAATTTATTCTTGATTTATAATATGTATGTACGTATTTTTAGATCGAATGAAAATTGAAATTTAAAATACATGAAATACAACATATTGCACAGAGTATAACAACTTTGTTCACCTAACAGTATTGTTTGTATCATCTAAAACTGAAAGAGTTATATATATATGTACATATGTATATATCAAATTGATCATTATGGAGATATGAATTGAATTCCGGATACCTTTCTGTCCATTCGTCCATCTGTACGTGCAAGCGAAAACTTAAGTAAAAAATTTAAATATCAACTTCTTGTAGCTCTATTGGTGGCCTAATTAATTTGGTACAAGTTGGTAAACGTTTTTGGAACGTGAGCCTGACCACACAACTGTTAGGTTTAATGAACATATCTCACAAACTGCTAAAGCTACTTATTTGTTTATAATATTTCATTGTACAGTATAAAAATTTATGAAATCGGATAATCCCTACACAAAAGTTACGTTGAAAACTACAGAAAGTGTAACTTTCTAGAAAAACGTTCGAAGCATCAAATGTTGCTGTACTAATGAAGATGTCGGAATAAAAGCTTGCACAGTTAACAGCCTTGAAGGTGTGGCCCCTCATCTTCAATTGGTCTTAGTTCTAACTACAAATCAAATGCAGTTAATGTTAGTGGACCCTTCCGATAGAATCTTTTCAGCCTGCCTGATGTTGCAGATCTTAAATTTTATGTGAATCAAAAATATATTTTTTATTTCAGATCACATTCACACAGTAACTTTGGATAAAACCGGAAAGAAGTCATTTGGAATTTGTATAGTCAGAGGAGAGGTGATTAAATTAAAAATTTTAATGCTAATGAGCTTAACTCCAGTTGCTTAAATTTTAATATCATAAGGTTAAAGACTCCCCAAACTCGAAAACATCCGGAATTTTTATAAAAGGTATAGTTCCAGACAGCCCTGCCCACTTGTGTGGGAAACTAAAGGTGATTGTAATATCAAAATGTTGTAACTCCTACTGAGTGATACGTAATAACTTTTAGGTGGGAGATCGGATATTGTCGTTAAACAATTACGATGTCCGAAATGCTACAGAACAAGCGGTTATCGAGCTAATTAAAGATGCTGGCATCAAAATAAATCTTGAAATTCAAACTTTTGGAAAGGTATGTTTAGGTTTTTAATAAAATTACCTAAAAGATTTGTGTATATTTATTTGCATGTAAATAGGATGAGAAGAAAACGTCAGAACGTGAACGCAACGAAAATGGTTACGTGCAAGTCAAAGCAAAATTCGCTCCAGGTGCTTACACATTTACAATTTTTAAGTTTGCTAAAGTTATTTTAATTTACGTTCGGAAATAAGTTAGTAATTATGTAATCATATTTCTTTAAGAACCGCCAATGTCGGCGAATAAAAGTTCGGTTCCTAAAGAAACCCGCGAAATCCGGCGTTTTCTGCCTCCATACGTCAGAAACCAGCTTCTAATTTTACAGCCAACGACGAAGAGGAAGGACACACGAGATATGACTGGCCGAATTCGCACAGAATCTGGATATGAAGTAAGATAATTCATACTTAATTGATTTGCAGGAAACAATTACATTTATTTACTATAGAAACTACCACTTATTCCAAACTATCCGTTCTAGTAAAAATTGTATTTTTGACAATAACCCTGCTGCTTTTCAAAGAGTTAAAAATGTGTTCACTAATAATCTGGTAAACTCTCCACTTCTAGAAAATTGTTATGTGGATTTTCTTGGAAAGTTGGAATTTTAATTGCCGTCCGCTTTACAGATTTCATGAAAGTTTTGAAAGGCACTGACAATTTTGGAGTATTTTGACCCAATCTGTTTAACGTTATTTCAGTTTTGTTCTCAATTCGCCTCTTTTAGTTCATGAAGTGTTTTTCTTCTTTCTTTATAGAGAAATCAGTGGCAATTTTATAATGAATTCTCTTAAGCATTTTCGAAGTTTTAACGACAAGCTGCCATATGAAAGCTGTTTGATTTTGCATTTAAATTTTTAGTTTAATACTTATACTTATACATAGTAAATCATTATAGATCGATCGAGCGTCTGCCGGTAATTGTAAACTCAATAAACAAGAAAAGAACGAGACAAAGAACAAGCCGATGAGTTCGGATACACAATGGGTATGAAGATGATTAATTATTTAGGATTTTCGCGGTTTTGCATATATATGTGAGTATTTTATTGTTACAGCGAAAATCAAGAAACGTTATAATTTAATGAAAGACCTGCGGAAAATAGAAGTGACGCGCGCGCCTAATACCTCACTAGGATTGGCCTTAGCCGGCCACAAGGATAGAAGAAAAATGGCTTGCTTTGTAGCTGGAATAAATTCCAGTGGCCTATTAGCTTCAGTGGATATAAAACGGGTGATGAGATTCTTGAGGTGAACGGAAATGTTTTACAGAACCGTTGCCATTTGAATGCCTCAGTGATATTTAAAAACATCGACACCGAGAGAATTATTTTTATAACATCACGCAGAAAAGACAATGATGAAGGAATATCTGTAAACCCCATAAAGAAGTTCCAAAGGAAGTCGATGATGTAAGCCGCAATATAAACTGATATTTAGAATAAAGACTGTCTTCTAAATGTATCATTGCAAAGTTTAAACATATACAGTTTATAGAAAAAAATATTATGAAACTAAGGCAACTATCGCCATGAATCATATATATCATTGATTCCTTGTTTTACCTTGCTTTACTTACATTACAACCAACATTTAAGAAGCCAGTTATATATATGTATATATGTAAATTCATGTACATATATAAATGCATTAAAGTGTTAACTTGAATATAACTACTCGTATTATTTGCTTACTGTTTTAAGACCAAGTTTTTTTGATTTATATCCCAATGCACGTTCAGTACAAGTTAAAAAGAAGGATTTTTAGAATTATGGTTATATATGGAAAGCATGTCGAAGTGGGCAACGGTATATTCATATCTGATTTGCGCGAAGAATCCAATGCAGTAACGGTAAGATATTGCTTAGTCTTATTTTTTCACAACTGAATCACTAACACATACATATCTTACAGGCTGGAGTAAAAGTCGGTGATATGTTATTAGCTGTCAACAAAGATGTCACTTTGGAATCGAATTATGATGAGGTATTCCTAATAACTATTAAATATCGAAAAAAAGTTATATCTCTGTTTAATTACAAAAATGAATATTTATATTATTTTCTCAACATTAAATAATGGTTGAAATTTGACATGACTTTCTAGCATTCAAAAGTTTTCATGTATCTCATTAATACAACTCAGCACATGTGTTAAAGATTCAGGACACTTCATCCAATCGTTCTCCAATTTTTGGTCTAAAAGTAATGCTACCTTCGCTATTTTTGTTTATAATGGAAAATGTGAGCTTTGTGTTTTGATAAAACATAGATTTCACTCTATAGATGTTGTTATTATTTTAGCGGCAGAATTCTGCCAAGATGACAGTCCTTGGCCGGATTAATAAAACGGACTGTATAGATGTTTATTCATTTTACCTATAAATATTAATATTAATATTTAATATAATAATTTACGTGCAAAACGTAAATATTTACACCTGTAATGTTACAATAACAGTATTATAGAAGATAATCAAATGTTTCGAAAACTTTAATTTTTAACGGGAACTTGTTCGAAAAACTCGAAATACTGCCAAGCTTATAGTTATGGTTATAGTTTTCTTCAGTATATGACATCATAGATAAAATGATCCGAAACTCCTCTCTTTGCTTTTCGAGAGAGCTCATGAACTTTCAGTGCTGCCAAGAAAAGCACGAGTTCATGAGCTACTGAACAGATGACAACCAAAACAATGAACTGCCAGATAAAATCCCGTTAAAATTAACTGACAAAATCAGTTCATTATTTTTCGTAAGAAAGTTTAATGCTGAAGCAGCAATAGTTAATGTGATATTGTTAATTAAAAATATTTGTATAAGTGTTTATATATAAAAATAAAATT